AGGATCGACAATAAGTGTGTGCTATTCAGTAGTTCGCTCCGTCCTCCTTTATGGCGGTAAGACATGGATATTGAAATTTGGAGGATATGAAGGAGCTGGCGAGCTGTTTTGCATCATGAGTGTCTGTGTTGTATAACAGGGTAAGTAATGTAGAAATTAGGAATTGAGTGTTAGGTAAAAGGAAGGCAAATCAATCGATGAGGTTGTGAAGCAGCTGCATCGATTGGGATGGCTAAGACATGGGTGTTACGCATGGCTAGGCATCGCCTTCCTCGACGATGTACAATGTTAGACGCTGACATAGGATGGATGGATTAGGCTGGCGAAGGGTTAGCTACTGGTGGTCAAACCAAAACATGGCTTCATCAGTCCATGAAATCCACAACAGTAGGCAGAGAGATGAAGACTACCTAACTGGTTGGGCTCTCGAGATATTAAGAACAAGTGGCTGGAAAAAATTGGCTACATGGCTGGCTCAAAATCGTTCTCAATAGCTGGCGCAGATGTATTCACACTCTGTGATCTACCATATTCAATAAATTCCTGATGTTTTTCCATGTTACTATTGTTGCTCCCTCACATTTCTGCTTGTTTATCGTCCTTCTAAATCTCTTTTTCCCCATTTGTCTATCTATGTGTCCTCTATTTTCAGGACTCTTGTCAGTATGCAGACACCACCGGGGTTCGAACCTAGGTCTCCTCGATTATAAAGCGAGCTAGCTCGTAGACCATTAAGCTACTGGGACCCGATTATCCAATGGTCCATGATTTCTATTTCTATTTGACTCATCACAATTTTATAACTGAAATAAAAGGTGCCACTGGTGTCTGCTTAGACACCAGTAATTCTTCCTGCAGTTATTCCCACTTTACGAATTTGAACAAGGCTGGAAACCAGAGGTTCGCGAAGAATAAGGTAAGAGACTTAACCGCTCCACCCTCCCCCTCACCCATGGCACAAACGACACGGTATAGAAGAGAGTGAGTAAATGTCGGTCATCTTCTCGAAATGGTCTCTATCATGTGGCCAAGCGTTCGTTCACATAGCCACTACCAGATATGTCCTACTCACTTACCCTCATGTAAGATGATGAAAGTGATATGGGTAAAGGACAATGATGCTCAAGGAGGCTTCGTGTGCTCTTCGAAGTGTGTGGGTGGTTTTTACTTCCCTGCTGCCCACACCGTGGGAGTTGGTGGATTCTTAGGGTATCTGAAACAGGAAGAGGATTAGTGTTGCGTGACCAAAGAGTCCAGGGGACAACTGCTTGAGGCCGGTCACACACGGCCTGTATGAACTGGTTTCTTGGTTTGGTTCCCTATTAGTAAACTTACCGCTGGTTACGGACCACCGTAGGTGTGGTAAGTCGAGATGTACAGTTTTCGAGGTCGACCTTTTCTAACCCCCTCCCTCCTGAGTGGAGAGACAGCATAGCTGGCATGCTGATGACCTGAGGGAAATACCCTACTGCGACTGTTACATCCCTGTTCCCCAGCAGTACGACTTCGCCCACAGACCCACAGCATAGTGTAAAAAAATTCTTACACTAAGCCGGTAACTGCTTTTAGTCTAATCGCCAACCTAACAAATTTCGTGGCATGGTAGGACCTGCAGGAACAATAGTTCCAGCCAGTGCAGCTTGTTGGATCATTGCGATGTGCAAGCCCAACCACCACATCAAGGTAGCGGCTACCGGTCGGGAGGGGAAATCAATAGACGAGTTTGTGAAGCTATATCGACTGAGATGGTTAGGACATGTGTTACTCATGCCTAGCCATTGCCTTCCTCGACGGACAATGTTAGCCAACATAGGGTCATGCTGGAAAAGAGCTAGCGGCTTGGTCAAACCAAAACATGGTTTCATCAGTCAATGAAATCCTCAACAGTTAGTTTATGCCACCTAGAAAGGTTTAGACTGCCTGGTTGGGGTCCTCGAGATGGTGAACACCAATGGCTGGAGACAATCGGTGAAATGGCTGGCTCAAAGTGATCGTTCTCAATGGCTGGCTGGCGCAGATGCATCCACTCCTTGTGACTTATAATTTCCAATAAAACTATATTGTTCTTCGTTATTACTATTCTTTTTGCCTCATATCTCTGTTTACTGTCTCTATCTACGATCATGAACTTTTCGTCGAACGTAATCTGATGGCAAGCACACTCTGTTTAAAGTGTTTAACAAAAGTAGAACAATATTTGTAAGTTTGAGGTCAAACGTTTCGATCACAACTCATACAATTTTGTTTGTTTACTATACATGTTGATACCTGTTTCATGACTCATATGATTGAAAAAAGTTTTTAAAAAGAAGAGATGTCCCCATTTTTATATATAAACCTCTGCTATGCAGCTGCGGGTGAACTTGTAGATACAGTCTGAAGTAGAGTCCACAGAATTTCGTCCTTTAATCGTAGGTACAGGGATCGAAAGTGTTCGGCAAGTGAGAAAAAGAGATGCGGCGTAGAATGTGCGTTTGATGGCTGACCGAAGTCGTTGAGCTGTCAACTGGACTCTACTTCAAACTGTATCTACAAGTTCACCTGCAGCTGCGGTGACACCTATATAGGTAGAACCAACAGAATGTTCCAATGTGGTCGTCGAAAAGAACATGTTCCAAAATGGCTACTAAATCATATAGAAAATCCCAACGCGATTAATCTGAATAGAAATCCATCATCATCACCTATTGCAAAACACTTATTAATGTCAGGTCACAAAATCAATATTAATTAATGACTGTTTCACAATTATTTCACATAACTCTAATTCAAGGTTGGTTATTGAAGGTGATGGAAGCACTTTGGATTTATTACATACAGACTAAACTGTGTGTACAAAAAACAATAGACTTCAATCTTCGCCTACCATGACCTATTTAAATATGATAGGTCATCAGTATGTACTTTTATTTTTTATTTAACTGAGTAATTGTCATGATCTTTATTTTATTATTGTTAACCATGTTAGTTGTAAAGCGGTTGTAAAGAAACTACGAAATGACGATATCATCTCGCGAAATTTGTCTTCTAAATGCCTTATTTGAATTCGATAAGTCAAGTTTGCAATGTGGCCAGTATGGCATTTGGCAATTCACCATCACAGTGCACTGTGAATTGTTCATAGTAGATGGTTAGAGGCAATCGGCCAAGGAAGCCTTGCCGGGACCTAGGTTTCGTGCAAGTTGGCACTTACCAGTCAGCAAGACGTATCTGCAACCTCGTAGGAACTCATGTCCTACGCCTCTGAGATTCGAACCTGCGTCAACCAGTGCTGACTTTTCGGACTCGCTACTTAACCTCCTGTAGGACTAACTGTATTGGATATATTTGACTGGACACTAGTCAGTAACTAGTGTAATGTATTTAGTCTTATCTTTGGTGCAGACTGAATTCTATCCTGCCCATTACCTCAAACTATCTAATACCAACAAAATAAATAGTTACATATAGGAGATATATAGAAAAAAATCCCCATTTAGACATGTAGAAAACAGAAAGATTGAGCGAAGAAATATTTACTCTTCAATTAGATCCTCATCTCTCTCTGGCTCTACTCTAATATACATATCCATAGCATTTTTATTACAATACACAACAGTTTACCAATCAAGTGGCACTGATATGTTTGTTAACAATAATTAGTCAGTGTCAAAATGTCAATGGGTTGATAATTAACGAAGAAAATTAATACACACAATTAAAAGGTAGAAATTGTTACAACACGTGGATTGCATAATGCATAATTTTGGAAAAATGAAGAGTAATTAAGGAATAAGCTTGTGCACAGGTTGATTGCGTAACAGATTGCTAAGGAAAATAAAACGAATTGGACAATGATAATTTGTAACTAAGGCTGAACTGGTCATAAGAATAAAATAGTTTTACAAGGATAACACGTAAATTAACTGACGAATACAGTTAAAAGAGCTTATTATGCAGCAGAGGTACGTTGTCTCTTCACAACCACCCCTATTCTACATTCGAGAAATGAGGATAAACTACCTAAATTTGCCTCCTCCTCTATGTGTATCTACCAGTTTGACTGCAGCTGCGAAGCCAGCTACATTGGGCGTACAATTAGGCAGGTTCATCATCGTATTTCCGAACATCATCCTGCAGCATGGTTAAGCAAGGGACAAACAAGATCTATTCGTAGCCCTATTTTAGCACACCTTGTAGATAGTGAGCATAAGGTTGATGTTAATACTGCATTTAAAATTATTTATCGCATTCCTACTAACCTTAATTTTGCTTTACGAGTTCATCTTCTACAGACAGCTGAAGCAATAGGAATCCATCTGAAGAAGCCAAACCTGTGTGTTCAGAAGAAATTTGTACAGCCACTTTCCTTACCTTGGCCATCGTTACATGAATGTATAGACCGGACTACTTCGCCCCCCTCCCCCTAAACCTTTAAAAATTATAATTGTACCAATTATTTTATTTTTTCTGACTACTTCATCTTTAATTACGTGTTATCCTTGTAAAATTATTTTATTCTTATGACCAGTTCAGCCTTAGTTACAAATTATCATTGTCCAAATCGTTTTATTTCTTTCTTTAACAATCTGTTACGCAATCAACCTGTGCACACACTTATTCCTCAATTACTCTTCATTTTTCCAAAATTATGCATTATGCAATCCACGTGTTGTAACAATTGACATGTTGACACTGACTAATTATTGTTAACAAACATATCAGTGCCACTTGATTGGTAAATTGTTTGTTGTGTATTGTAATAAAAATGCTATACAGAATATATTAGAGTAGAGCTCGCCTTGTAACCAAAAGGTCCTGGGTTCGAATCCCAGCGGATGCGTACTGATGAAGAGTCCCAAACTAGGACGAAACAGTACTCCCAGGTTTTCCAGTGGTTCTCTAACCGATGTCAGCTCATGATGAAAATCCTGTAGAAAGTAAATATTTCTTCGCTCCAATCTTTCTGTTTTCTACATATAGGAAAACAGAAAATAGAGTAATCCATACACACAACTTACCAGCCACATACGAAATCCTTGTATAACTGATCGTATGCATAGAATGCAAGAGATAAGACCTAATATAAGCGTACAACAATCAATTAGGATAACTAATCCACCACGTGGAATCATATAATTTGTTTCATTCGACACTTTTGATGATGTAATATTGAATTGATTCCAAAATTTAACAAGTAGATCTTGTTTTTTATCCTTCTCTACTAGATTCAATGACAATGTCGACGGTGATGTAGACGATGCGGTTGTCAACTGGACGGTAGTAGTAGTAGTAGACGTCGTCAATGGTTGTTGTGTTGAAGATGCCGTATCATTTGTCTGCGTTGATGGTATATCAAGACACGGTGCAGATGCATACGGTGCGTGTAGAAGAATTTTTATTTGACCCGACTGTGAAGGATTTTCTAAAGATATCTAAACGAACAATTAATATGAAAACAAAACAAATTATAAAAGCATTAAACGACACGTTGAAAATATAATGTAGCATGTGCTACTGACAACATTTTTATGAGTAGTGTGATGTGAGAGCTGTCTGCAAGCCAAAATTGTAGACAACAATTTACGTCAATGTTTACTTAGCGAATCGGGATCATGAGAAAAAGAAATAATAACAAAGCTTAACATTAGAACAAGACGTATAAGCGAACAATATTGTTGTTTTCAATTAGATCTTTTTCATATTAATATATGTGTAAAACTTGGGCACTGTGGTAGTAAGTAATTCCATATTAGTTTGTTTATTAGATGTATCACACCCAGTGTGAAACAGTATTATTACATACTGGATGACTAAGTTTCGAACACAATTTATTTATTGTTCATAATCATCTCATCAATTATAATCACACAACTTCGAAACTTGAATTTTATAGTTTCCTTTGTCCTCTCCTATTTGTCGTCTTTGGGGTAGTAGAATTTTCCAGATATCCCTCTGGACAGGTATTGAATCATTCCTATTACACGTATCCTCCTCAGTTGATTCGATAAATAAAATTACAGTCAGTTATCAATCTCTCTCTCCACCTTGCTGTTACATTAGATTTTAGAACTGTCGTCTAATCCCATCATCTTACTGTATGGTTGTGTGTTCAACTATAGCACAACATGGAATTATGATTATCTGTCCACGTCACCTATAGTATTATGAAACTCTTAGGATTTGACCTAATTTATTTATTGAATTGTCTGCATATACACAATGCATTACTAACTTTGTTATTCTTATCACTCGCTGCATAAACCTTATTATCATTATTTTGTTATCATTATAATCATCGTTATTAATTATTATTATTATTATTTGATCCACAAAATCACCGTCATTGGTTAAATTCTGTTTTAGATATAAATCTATGTAAATTAGAGTAAAGCCTGAAGAAGATCCAATTGTACGCACCCACCGCCAGGGTTCGAACCCACCACCTTCTGGTTACAAGGCGAGCCAACTCGTAGACCATTAAGCCACTCGCTGAGACTCAACCGATCCAGTGGCCAGTGCCTGAATTCCAACTTCTGCCAATTCATGACATAGCATAGCGCAACCATATTGCAAAGTCTTCTGTTACTGCCTCATTTTCAACCTGCTTTATACCCTATTGTATTCTCAGTAAAACTTTGGACTTTAAGCATTGAGGTTTTAGTGGCAATAGTGTTGTTACACATTTGTTCATTATTTTTGTTTAAAATATTTCGTTTAACCGGAAGTTTTAAATTAAACAGAATGCGACTTAATTTTGGAAATTCACTCATAACTGACCATTATATATATATATATATATATATATATATATATATATAGAGAGAGAGAGAGAGAGAGAGAGAGAGAGGCAAAGTTAAACTTTAAGCACCCAGTAAGTACCAACGGACGAATGACGTTGAACACATCAACTGCAAGAAAAATGTAATTTTTGTGTATAAAATACATATACATTCATGAATACAATAAAATAAAAAGAGCACACAGGACACCTTTCTCTGAAATGTGGCGAAAATGCCTCTCAGTTATGGATCGGGGAATCAATAGAGTAATTTAGCCACATTCTATGCATGCAATTATCTAGGTCTTCTAACCCTAACCTTATTATTATTATAATATTATTATTATTGTTTCCTTTAATTCCTAGAGGAACATAGGGCTTCAACCGTGCGTCTCCATTGCGTTCGGTTCTCTGCCAACGTTTTCACCTGGCTCCATGTCTCCTGTTCACATGACCTCCTCCAAGTCACAATGACGACCAACTCGTCGCTTCCCTTTCGGGTTCCACTCGAGCAATGGCTTGTCTAGTGATGTCACTTGATGGTTTCCTCAGAGTATGGTCAATCCAGTCCACCTCCATTTCTTCCTGCCTATTTGTTTCACAATCGGTTCCTGCTATGTTGGTTCGCTCCCAGAGATCCCTGTTGCTCATCTTTTCTGGCTGGCCATCTGATCTTGAGTAGTATTGAGCGAAGACAACTGTTAATGAAGGTCTGTAGTTTGTTTGAGATGCTCTTTATGACGCGCTGGCCAAGTCTCTGATCCGTATAGTAGCGCTAACTCCACACTGGATTTGAAAATTCGGATCTTATTTTTTAAAGTGGAAATATCCCCAAATTAACCCTAACCCTAACTTAAACCAGTCCCCATGTCGACCACATTAGGTTAGCCTAACAACCCTAACCTAAATCTCAACTTAATCTACCCTAAACTTATCCCGAAACTAGTCAGATATCCTATTTAATAAAATAACACTTTGTTTAGCATATTTTATACATGACTACAGTAGTATTTACCAGGTTTCACTAACTTGCTCACTGAGCATTTCAAGGTCACTGGGGCGGTCACACTCCACTGGCACTTACCTACTGGTGCTTAAGGTTTAACTTGGCTTAGTTAAGTGCTGTCTAACAAACCGAGTAATAGCACTAAGTAGTACATCAAAAAAACCTAAACGATGAAATGAAACAGACAGAAGAATAGCTGGTTGGTGTCAAATAACTAACTATCCTACAAAATTCATTAGGAATATCAAAAAAGGTCAAAAGCAAAATAAAAATAAAGGGGAAACTAATAATGATAACATGAATAAGAGAGAGAATATAAGGTATCTACAGGTTTATCATATAAGAAGGGAACGGGATACGCGAGACCCTACGTAGGATTCTTAATAAAGCAGGAATTAGAATGGCATTCAAACCTACAAACTCACTCAGGTAGGACAAGCTCTTTAGGTTAAATAACCCTGTCGGTTGACTTAATCAGACAAAATAATGTAATTTGTAAAAACATTATATTTGTATTATCTCAGCGAGATTGAAATGAGTAATTCCAACGTTTCTTGTGTTCGGAAATCTGGTCCGAATTTCTTCAGGGAAATTAATCGAAATTAACATGACAGACGTTTATTTATGAAAAGGGGGACATCTCTTGTTTTTTTTTTACTTTGTCCAAGCATATGAGTCATGAAACAGGTATCAACATGTATAATAAACAAAATTTTATGAGCTGTGATCAAAATTTGACCTCGGACTTACAAATATTGGTCTACCTTTGTTAAACACTTTAAACAGAGTGTGCATGCGTGTGTGTGTGTGTGGGGGTCAACAGGTGTAAAACATTTCTTAACGTCTCCATAAGAAGATATGGACAGTCGAGAATTTTGACCAAGTATTACTGATTAGTGATACATATCCATGTTTATCTATTAATACCTGTTTCATGACTCATGATTGGACAAAGTTTTAAAAACAAGAGATGTTCCCCTTTTTTATATATAAACCTCTTTTATGTTAATTTCGATTAATTTCCCTGAAGAAGTTCGGACCAGATTTCCGAACACAGAAAACGTTGGAATTACTCATTTCAATCTCGCTGAGATTTTACAAAAATATAATAATTTTTTACAAATGTCTACTTCTCACTCGGCGCCCAAATATTTTAGAACTATTCTGTCAAATCTTAACGATAGTTCATTTGAAAATAATATAATAAACAAAATACCTTGCAATAACTATGATTGAGGTCAACTACGTAGGTCAAACTAGTAGATCAGGAGTAGTGAGATTGTCGGAACATAAGAATTTAGCTAAGGTAAGAATGGTTTACCCCGCGAAGATAAGTCGTTTAGCAAAAAAACTCAGCGATTGCACTGAATGCATTAACACACAACCACATAATAGGGTGAGTGGGAGAGGGTTAAAATTCTAAGAAGTAATATACGTAGGTTGTCGGAGAGAGAGGTTGATTACTGAATCCTTGTTCATCGAGTGAATCTACACCCAACACGTGCAATAGGAATACCTCATCACTCATACCGGAAATATGGAAAATACTGCTACCAATCAAGTCAAGCGATGAATTGAAATAATGGAATTATATAAACGAAGCTAGAAAGTTATGTGTGAGTAATGCCTTGATATGATTATGAGCAGGAATAAATTGTTCTCGAAACATGGTCATCAGTAAATATTACTGTATAACAAACACTATGAGAATTTACCAGAATAAATTTTACCCACAATGGAATTGAAAGAGGTTACTTCATTCACTTATCTAGGGAGGGAGCATTGTCTCAACTACAGGAGGAACGGACGAGGATGTCAAATCGAGAATCGGGAAGGCGAGAAACACATTCATCAACCTGAAACCAATCTGGAAATCTTCCGCTGTCACTCACTCACCATCAACAACAAAATGATTCGGATTTTCAATACAAACGTCAAGTCAGTCAGTTCTTCTATACGGATGGATCAGAAACTTGGTGGGTCACAAAGAATATTTCCAACAGCCTGTTGCAGACCTTTATCAACAACTGTCTTCGTTCTATACTCAAGATCAGATGGCCGGAAAGAGCAAGAACCAACAAGAAACTATGGGAAGAAACAAAACAAGAACCAATCGCTCAACAAATATGCAGGAGAAAGTGGAGATGGATTGGACACTCGCTGAGGAGGCCACTGGGTGACATCGCGCGTCAATCAGGCCATAGCTCGAGTGGAACCCGAAAAGGAAGCGGCGAGTGAGACGTCAGTGCAAGGGTGACATGGAGGAGATCATGTGAAGAGGAACTGAAACAGTATGGATTAACATGGATGCAGGTGAAAAGTACAGCAGAAGACAGAAGCAAGTGGAGACGTGCAGTTGAAGCCCTATGTTCCACTAGGAACACAAGGGAATAATAATAATAATAGAAGGTTAAAATTCTAAGAAGTAATTTAGGTAGGTTGTCGGAGAGAGAGGTTGGTTACTGAATCCTTTTTCATCGAGTCTACACCTAACACATGCAATAGGAATACCTCACCACTTATACCGGAAATGTGGAAAATACTCCTACCAAGCAAGTCAAGCGATGAAAAATCATGGAATTATATAAACGAAGCTAGAAAGTTGTGTGAGTGTGTACCTTGATATGATTACGAGCAGCATTGAATTCTGCTCTAAACTTTGCCATCAGTAAATATAGCTGTATAACAAGCACTGTGAGACTTTATCAAAGTAAATTTTACCCACAACAGAATTATACTCTACCACAGTGAACAAGTTTTATGCGTATATCAATGGATAGCTGGCCGCCTAACGGCATTGTTGTCACAATTTTTAGTTTTTCATGTTGTTGTGATTATTAACTATTGAATAGAATCATACATAGATTCAACCAAGAATAATCATCTTCTGGCTGTCTTTGGAGAGTCCCGTGACAGCTATACGCACAGCAGAAGGCAAAGATATCCTGTTCCCCAGCGTTCAGACTTCCAACGAGTTTGTTTCGGTCGTAACAACCTATTCGATGATTTTAATTATTATGAATAAGATACTAAGTATTAAAATTCTTAAAAGCTTTTCCCTCCAAAAACGAATTAAACAATTTGACCTAGAGCATCTGTTCGATCACCGAGAAATCCGGTTGAACTGGAAAAACTTGAAAAATAACCAGCCATAGGTCTACATGCTATAGAATCAGGTCACAAAATTGATTTTGACAATATTGAAATCATCATCCAGAAAAACTTCAGAAATCACAAAGGGCGTTTCACATCATCAGAAGCACTTCATATCATGTGGAATCCAAATTGCCTCAACTGAATAGGAATGATGGACTAAAACAGAATCTGACCTGGTTACAACACCTCCTTCCCCTCCCCCATGAAGTGACAAAATCAACACGAATGTGATAAGCTAGTTCACTATGTAAACACACACCGCTTTTATAATTTTACACACTGATCAAACCCAACAATCTACACTTGATTTTGATTTTCTTATCTTTACCAATTGACTAACTTGACAACGAAAAATGACCCCAGACAGACGAACGATGATCAAGTTAGTAAACTTTATTTTGATATCATAACAGACATACTATTACCTTTGTTATTTGGTTTAGTTACCTTCAATGCAATTTTACTTTCAATATGTCCTTTTAACTTGACCTAAGTCTATTTTCTCACCCCTTAACTCTTTGTTATACATATGCTGAGATTTTGTAAATTACAGCTTGATGCCACACCGCATTTTCAGTACAAGTATGGAATTTTTAGCATGGCTATCGGTAGCCCAAATTTTGCAGGCCGATCATAGATATCGGCAGGGGATCGAACCCCGGACCATGTGCATGGTTGGCGAGAGTCCTAACCGCTGTGCCGCCGACGCACTTTGATAAAGCTATTAGCATTAAATAGCGAAACGTCGATGAAAACAGTAATATCGTTTTGTTTTTCATTCATTGGGAAATACAAAAAAACTTCATTATAATGAATATCATATACCCAATGCCCAAATTTTTTCAAACTGTTAAAAGTGAACTTCGTTTGGACATATATAATTTGACTTCGAGATAAAGGTCCCGCGAATACACGCACACTCAGAGGCATCATGTAATTAGCCACATAGTAACAACAATAAGCATCACATGGAACTCATCTGATCAGTAACCTTGGGGTAACATGCAACCACGAGCAGCTGCACACCCACACATACCCCACGCCCACACAAACAAAAAGCGTAAACAGCATAAGATAAAGAGAGAAAGTAAACTTAAACAAACTCTTAGGCATACGCACACATGCACACACACACACACCATTTACCTTGATCATAAATCGATAGCATTCAATTGTTTGCGTCCAGTCGAGATGATAAATTGGTGGAGATAAGAGATTGAAGTGTATACTGAATCCCAGTAGACTGAAGAAGGCGATGACGATTGATGCCAGAGGATCGATGGAAATTGGAACATGAATAATGGTGATCAGAGAGTCGGATCAGGGAATGACAAGAACATTTATAAAAAAAGAAAAGAAAAATATGAGAACAATTTAAATTTCATAATATATATACATGGTTTCGATGACAGAGACACACTAACACAAAAATTAGTGAAAATCGGAAGACGTTGAAGTCAGCTGGAAGAATGTGGGCGGGGGGGGTGAAGCGGACGGTTGCTAATCCCCTGCTGCTCACATCTCAGGAAATGACATTTTCTAGTTCTTATTGGTCGACCGATAGACAGAGGCACCGAATCCTCCCACAAAACGACTTCGCCCTAAGACCACAAACCAAATCTATAATAATAGTAGTCTTAAAGAGCCTTCCGATGCGATAAGATCTGTAGGAACACACGATCCAGCTGGTACAGCTCGTTGACTTATTGTGATATACAAGGGCCTTCCCCTGTACGCCAAAGTGACAGTTATCATTCGGGTTAGGAATTATTCATCTTTGAATTCTAGCCTAGTAGCATGTGTCCTGAGGGTAGAGCATAGCATCTCCGATGAGGTTGAAGGTTCATTAAAATACTTTTGGGTAGTTTTGTATGCATGCTAGCCAACGCTGGTTGATTCCTTACCCCAATGTGGTTGGTTGGTTGGCTCAGACCAACTGTTGAAGACTTCATGAACTGTTTGTTGCCAGGTTTTCACCTAAACACTCCGAACTCTTTCCCAAACCATCATCCCCATATCAGCTAACATTGCTGCTCATCAGGGAATGCGGGGACTCAATATGTGCAAAACGTGTGTCTAGACGCTTCAATCCATGTAACTTCACAACCTCATCAATTGACTTACCCTCATTACCTAAAACACTAAACTTAACCTCAACCCTACTCACAATATTCAACCATTTACCACAGGAGACACGAAGTACATATGTGTGGTCAAAGACAGCTAGGCAAGCCTTTTCGTAGTCTCCCACTTAAAAAATAACCACGTCTCACAACCATAAAAGAGGACAGAGTGAAGTATTGCGTCATACACACTTCCTTTGGTCGATAGCCACATATGAGGTGATTTGGCTAATACCACACTGAATTTTTGTATCAGTGCTGAGCTCTCATCAACGCCTACAATGCTCTCAAACTCCCACTACTAACTTACTCGAAAGAAACATTTATACAAAGCAATAAGAAGACGTAATTTGTTTGAATCGTGTACTGTTGTATTTGCGCGGCACATTTCGAACAATCTGATCAGCCAAACACGTACTTTTCACAGGAATGTATATATATGAAATTAATAAAGAGTTAAGAGGTGAGAAAATAGACTATTTAGGTCAAGGTAAAAGGACATATTGAAGCCATAATGACAGCTAGTCCTAATGAAGCTTTTTGGCCTAAATGCTATAAGTAAAGATACATTTGACTCTTTAAAACCATCAGAATGCAAACTCCCGCATATGTACGGTTTACCGAAAACACATAAACCCAATAATCCTCTACGTCCTATATTGTCAATGCGCAAATGCCCAAAACATAAACTTGCTAAATGGTTAGTTGAATTATTGCATCCAGTCAAAACACAATTCTGTAAGTATGCATTAAAAGATACATTTGAATTGGATAATTTTCTTGACGATATTAATTTTATGAATAAGAATATGTACTCTTTTGATGTAAACTCTTTATTCGCCAATGCGTCTTTGCTTAAAACAACTGAAATTTTGTGTGATTACATTTCACCACACATAACTTTTTCATCCCGTTCCCCATATCTTATTTAAGGGATTTATTACTTCTATGTACTAGCAATGTTAGGTTCACATTTGAAGGCGATTGTTTCTGTCAAGTTGATGGTGTTGCTATGGGAAGTCCTGTGGGCCCTCTTTCAAATTTTTTTAGCATAGCTTGATTCCACACCTTATTTTTGGTACAAGTATGGAATTTTCAGCATGCGATATCGGTAGCTCAAATTTGCAGGCCAACCATTGATATCAGGTGTGCGTCGGCAGGGGATCGAACCCCGGACAATGTGCATGGTCGACGAGAGTCCTAACCTCTGTGTCACCGACGCAGATATCTATATGTCGTACATTGAGAGTTTATCGGAGGATTTAATCGGAAATGTGCCACTTTATAGAAGGTCTGTAGACAACATTGTAATCACAAGCGCCTTGTTCTGCCACCTCAATTTTAAATCGAATGAATGAAGCTCAGAACAGCATATCACTTACCTCTGTAAAAGAAGAAGATAATTGTTTATCTTTCCTAGACATATTGCTTAGTCAACGGCTTGATGCGTCAATAAAAAGATCTATTTATAGAAAACCTACCTGGACGGGACAATATCTCAATTATCACAGTTTCTCCCCTGTTCGGCACAAAAGAGCCTTAGTGATCGAGGTGCCCCTTCAGCAGAATCCAAGGAATATACACTGAAGACTTACTTGATGAAAAAGAAAGAAAGTTGACACAAACTCTGGTTGCCATAATAATTATCCAGATAAGTTGATTAGGAGATATAAAGACCCACTCTCCAACTCGCCCCTAAGAAAGACGTGTACATCAAACTACCCTATGGGGGGATCATAGCAGGCAGCTTGACAACTAGACAAAGACTGAACGCTGCTGTGATTAAAAAGACTTTTTATGCAGCTAATATCATAATAATTGACAATATGAAGCCAATATATCCATCCATCTAATCCCTTTGAACATGCGAAGAGTGATGTCACATCCCACTGTATTTACCAATTTGAATGTGCGTGTGGACACATACATGGGACGGAGGATTCATCGATCTTTGCAAGTAAGGGCTGGCTTCACAGCATATTCCTAAACGACTTCAAAAGCAAAAAGAATCCCCAGAACCCATTAATGGTGAGAACAGGAGACCAAGGTCCTCCCGCTGGCAATAATGAAAATAAAAACCTATAAATATGTCTTGATTTTCTCAATAAACGATCTGTTGCCTGACCCTTGTCTGTCGTTACATTATCACCTCTTTAATTTGGTTTAGTGATTGATCTTCATTGTTATTTTGACCTTCAATATGGCGGCCTTTTAACTTGACCTAAGTAGTCTATTTTCTCACCTCTTAACTCTTTATTAATTTCATAAATATACATTCCTATGACAAGTAAGTGGAGTGTGATCAAATTGTCCGAAATGTATTACACAAACGAATAGTACACGATTCAGATAAATTGCATCTTCTTATTACTTTGTCTAACTTAATTCATAAAGAGAACTTCAATAAATGTGAGACGAATAGTTAGATAAAGTCACTTACTCATAAACTACAATAAATGGGAATAAATTGTGTGATAAAACGTTATTTTGAAAAGTGTAACATAGTGAATAGTACTCAGTGGAATGAACTACACAAGAATGCATTATACAACTCATTAGTAAATTTTCAGAGAATAACTTAAATAGGAATTAATGAAAATGTTGTCAGAAATTTCGAGTATTATTAAAAGTAATCACACCGACTCTATTTTAAAAAAGGGATTTTCAAATGACCCACTCAAAATGACTGACTGACTGGTTTAAACATAGAACTTTACAACGATATGCAGTTCGAGTCGCCACACTTCACTCACCACACAAAGCAAGAGAAGAAAGTAGAAAGAAACCCAAAATAGAGACAGTAAACAGGGATATGAGGCAAACAGAATAGTAATAACGAAGAACAATATAGTTTAATTGGAAATCATAAGTCACAAGGAGTGGATGCATCTGCGCCAGCCAGTCATTGAGAACAAATTTGAGCCATATCACCGATTGTCTCCAGCCATCATTGGGTTCCACCGTCCCGAGGAACCCAACCAGTCAGTCAGAAAGTCTACACCTGCCTACATGGCTTAAACTGACTGTTGTGGATTTCATTGACTGATGAAGCCATGTTTTGGTTTGACCATTATGTGCTACCTTTTTTCCAACCCGACCCTATGTTGGCTAACATTGCCCATTGTCGAGGAAGGCGTTGGCTATGCATAAGTAGCACATACGTAAACCACTAAAAGTAACATCGACTTCTATACGATCTTTGACAGCGTCGATTGTGAAGTAATTTGTAAACTGCTTCATCAATTACTGAGTAGAGTGTGTTGCAAACTTTTACCAACCTCATTCAACAGCCATCCAATGATGATGACGTTGATACCATGTGTTAAATGATTCACAGTGAAAAACTCAGAGACGCCTTTAAAATGAAGAAGGCAGTAAGATAAGACTGTCTGTTATCACCAATGGTAATCTCGATTATTGGTGGAATGGATGATGCTGTAACAGCAGACGGCAACACACGGAAGCCAATGTATATTTTCAAGTGATCAAACGGCTCTTTATATCTATACAGTTTTATATTCTTTAACCAATCATCACTGAGCGTGTGATTGCGGTTTACATTAAACGACATGAAATAGAATGTTCAAATACAATATATAATATTCTGTTAATAATGCAGTATTGAACTGTGCGAATATGGAGAAATAATATTCCGTTGGAACCCATTGTCTGCATCACGCAACCACACTTGTCACTCCCCCATCAAATACTTTCGACTGAAGGTGGCCCGATCTTCTTGGTGCTGGCGGCTTTGTTAGCTTGTCTTGGTGTATCGAGCTCCGGAGCTCGTTGATGGCCACCCGCTTCACTTTGTTTGCATTTTTGATGGTATATACGTGACCTCGTCTCGCGGTGACCATGTATGGTCCTTCCCACATTGGAAGCAGTTTGCATGACGCTGGCGCGTATTCGTCGGTGTCTCAGCTCACACTATCATATGCTGTCCTCGACCGACCTACAGGCTGCGTTCCAAGTAACAGCCTCTTCTCTGACGGATATTGAACACCATTCAACTCCGCGACAGCCTCGATATGTCTCCTTCTTGGAAAACTGCAGGGCACAGGCTTTCCATTTGTCGGCAGACAGTGACACCAAGTGTAACAACAGAAGGTAAGACATGGAAGGCAAGGTATATTTTCAAGTGATCAAACAGCTATTTATATATATCTATACAGTCTATATTATTTAACCAATCATCGCTGAGCGTGTGATTTCGGTTCTACATCAAATGACATGAAATAGAATGTTCAAATACACATATTGTATTCTGTTGATAATGCACTATTGAAGTGTAGGAAATGTGAGAATAATAATCCGTTGGAACACATTGTCTGTATCACACCACCACAATGCAACAGACCATGGGAAGGAAGAAGACCGGTATACATTAAACTGACAAGAAAACTCTAGGCGATATGAACTTCCCTGACAATTTATGTCAAATGTCACACACAAACTCGAAGATATAAGAGGTGAAAACCAAAAAGTTGCCGGGAGAAGCAGCCAGCGAAGACTGAACTTCAAAGGAACAGTGGGAAAAGATAGAGATGACGAAGTTACCTGACCAAGAACAACAACAAGTATATCAAAGGAAGGATCAGAAATGAGAGATGGGCCTTCACTAATCTGAAATCAGTATCATGAGCACATCTGCTTCACTCATCATAAAGAACAAAATTCAGTCAGTGTTCTTGTATGATTCAGAGGCTTAGTCTGAGAGTCACAAAGACCACTACCGATATACCAACAGCCTCCAGACTTTTATCAGCAGCTGTCTTTACTTCGATAGTGAAAATCAGAGGGCCGCCTGGTTAGAAAGAATAAACAACTAGGTAGCTTGACAACAAGAACCTATCGTCCGACAAATATAATACAAGAGGAAACGGAGATCAATGGAGCATACGATAAGAAGACCATTGGGTAGCAAACACGCGCCAAGGAAACCGTCGAGTGGAACCCGAACAGGAATCGACAAATTGTGCATTCGAGAGTCATATAGAAGAGGACAAATGACCAAAATGTAAGCATATGAGAAATAATGGAGCCAGACAGAAATGGCTTCAAAGAGCACAGAGATTTGATGCCTATATTCTACTTGAAACTGAACACCGATAACAGGTCACACAATTCATTCTTTTACATTCAACCACTATTGTTCCATAACCTTATAGCGGTAATAAATAGGCTGCCCGAGTCATCTGTACCTGCTGAATCTTCAGCCATTCAAGATGAAGAAGTCATAGTTCTGTATACAGAAAAAAAGGTTTGTTCAATCACTGCTTTATTCAGCAGTACGCACCCATCACTGAGGTTCGAACCCAGGACCTCCTGGTCACAAGGCTAGCGAGTTCGTAGACGATTAAACCACTGGGATCCGATCCAATGGGTAGCCCATGAATTCTAACTTCTACCAATTCACGACATAGCGCGACCCCTAGCCAATGTCTTCGGTGAGTATTTGTCCTCACAACCGACCTGGTTGACTTTACCAATTGGCCAACTTGACAAGGCGATAAATGATCCAATGCTGATGAACGATGATTAAGTTATTATATATAAGCTGAATGGATGTTGTAAATTCTGGTTTAATAACACAAATTTGATAAAGCCATTAGCAGCAGCATTAAATAGCGAAAAGTCGGTGAAAACAACAATATCGTTTTGTTTTTCATTCATTGGAAGATACAAAAACGCTTTATCATAATGAATATCACATATACCCAATGCCCAAATTTTTTCAAACTGTTAACAGTGAATGTAATTGGTGGATGGTGACTAGCAGTAGGGAAATCCAGAATAACGCGCATTTCGTCCTATTTGCAGCTCGTCAGCTATCGGGATGTACCTGCATTCCCCAGTGAGTGAATGATTGATGATGTTCCCACCACCGAGGCTCGAACCCAGTGACCATAGTTTCAAACACTAGCCAAGGCGTTATCGAATAGACCACCACTAGGGCCAAGAGAGCCACCACCACTTGTGCGCAACGGGTCATATTAATTATTGAATTTTAGATTTTCCCATCGATTGATTTGACCGAAGTGCTCGATCTTAGTGAACTTGGTTTAAACAATATGTATAAAATAATACATAATAATAATGGATTTATGGGTCGTAGAAAAATACGAATATATATTTGAACGCTAATCTTTCAACATCAATATTATCACCTCTTCCTTATAATGATCTGATCATAGTTGTCCCGATTATTTATTTTTATTACATGTTCAATAAAATTGAATAAGAGGGCTATTTGAAAAAAAAATGCAAGATTTATTAGTTCTAATTCAATTAACCAGAGAATAGGTGTTTTTTGTACCAAACAACCACACACATGTGGTTGTGTGTGTGTGTGAGACCATTTCATGAATAGGAGAGATTGCACAAAGTGAATGCATCTCTGAGCGCTATTGAGAACAATTTCCAGTCACATATCACCAACAACATCTTTCGAAGTGAAGACGGGAGTAAAACAAGGCTGGCTGCCTATTATCTCCAATGATTAATTTCCTGATTGCCGTAGACTAGATAATGGGACAGACAACGGGCAATGAGGAGACAGGCATAAAATGAATCCACACAAAAACAACTTGGAGGATCTGGACTTCGCTAATGTGATATATGCCTGATTTCCCACTAATTGGAAGATGTTCAAGTGATGAAAAGCAACAAGTTGGCGATAGAAGAAGCATCAAAGAAAGATACGACTTCAGGTGAACACAAAGAAAACAGAGGTGATGATGAAGATGCTTGGCCAACAGCAACAGCAACAACAACAAAAGCAGACAACAATCAGTATAAGTGGGAGAAATCTGAAAGAAGCAACCTCCATTACCTACGTACTCAACTGGGAAGCATCGTTTCAACTACAGGAGGAACTGACGAGGATATCAAAGCAAGGATAGGGAGAGAAAGGTAAGCTTTCAATACTTTCAAGTCTGTGTGCAGATCAACACAGCATTCAGCATGAAAAATAAAACCAAGATTTTTAACTCCAATATGAAGTCAGTGTTACTATACGTGTCACAAAGGCCACTTCGAACAAACTACAAACTTTAATCAACAACTGTCTTCGCTCAATACTTCGCTCAGGATCAGATGGCCAGCCAGAAAAGACCAGCAACAGGGATCTGCGGGAACGACGAACCAACCAGGAACCAATTGTGTGACAAATAAGCAGGTAGAAATGGAGATGGATTGGCAATACTCTGAGAAGACCATTAAGTGAGTGACGTCACACGCCAGGCCATTGGTCGAGGTGAACGCAATAGAATGGGAATCGGCGAGTTGGTCGTCAGTGCGAGGTTGACATGGAGGAGGACGTCATGCTAAGAGGAGATGAAAGCATGTGGGCAGACGTGGAGCCAGGTGAAAACGTTGGCTCGTAGAGCATTCAGCCACTTGAACCCGATTCAGTGGCCAGTGCATGAATTATAACTTCTACTAATTCGTGATTTAGCGCGACTAGTAACTTGCTAAAGGACGGTAGTTCCTGGAGTTCTAGTGAGAAGTCGTGACCAGTGAGGTCCATCCAGATGTCACGTGTGAGGATGGATGTCCCACCGATGACATTGGTTGGTGCCAGTGGCGCTAAATCACGAATTGATAGAAGTTAGAATTCATGAACTGGCCATTGAATCGGGTCCCAGTGGCTGAATGGTATACGAGCTTGCCTTGTAACCGGAAGGTCTTGGGTTTGAACCCCAATGGGTGCCTGCCGCCGATGATTCCCAAACTAATGGGATGAAACAGCTGTCCAGTACTCTAGTGCTGGATTCCAATGATTCTCTAACTAATATTAATCCATGATCAACTTGTAAAAACAAATCTAGCCCTTACAAACCAAACTATAGAAAAAGATGATAAAGTACTCTAAAAAGTGGCCTGAATATTGGTTGAATCATCACCAGGGATCGTGAGGCGGTAGCACAAGCGGTCAATTCCCAACAACTAAAGGCAATTGAATAAAAGTACAGCGAAAACCTCCACTTCTGGTGACAGAAGAAGATCATTAGCTTTAGTCATCAACTGATCCTTGGGCTTGGTAAAATGGTCTCCTACTACTCTTAAACTAGACATCACCATCATCATGAGTTGAAGTGTCTTGCTGCAGCGCAATTGACCACAATAAGTAAAACCATATGTAAATTATCTCAGCTTCAGTTAAGAGGACCACTTAGATCTTGCCTGTCACTTTTTTTTCTATTACTTTGAGTCCCAATCTTTGATTTTTCAGTACTAGTGTGGTTTTGACGGGTTGCCAAGGCTAGTCTCACACTCAACCTTCCCTGTTTTCTATGTTTACTTGCAGCCAATAGACGACGCATATGCTCATGGGGGGGGGGGGCATCGGTCGGCAAAACTGAACCCGGAGTCTTCTCCCGCTTAGGTGGTACACGAAAGTAAATAAGTAAAAAAATTTAAGTCTTTATCTAACAGTAAGATAACGATGTCTTAGCCATAGAATGTTCACCAACCACGCCTCATGTGATCCGGGATTCGATCCCAGGCCACAGACGCACTCCTTTACCTTTCTAAGCCGGTAATAAGACCGGCAAAGAGGGAAGGTTGGGCATGAGGCTAGATAGCAACCGAAACTTCAAGGCTCTAGTCTGAAGCCACGATGTTCCAGCACTGGGAACGTAAATGAATAGAAAAAAAATAATAAATAAATAAACAACCTCAAAGGAGTAACACAACTCACTGGTCAAAATCAATATTCAACCCATGGGTTTCCAGAAAATTCTTTATTGCATCAACATCTTGTAATTGTTTAGCATCAATCTTCTGTGGTTCAATCGATACACATTCTGTTGTTATTGTCACATGGAATAAATAATAAGTGAATAGATGAACAGTAAATGACTTGCATATGATTACGTAATCAATTAAATAATGATTGTAATACTGTAACAGCAGAAGAGGTAAGACACAGAAGCCAAGGTATATATATATATATATATATATATATATACTGAACTGATCCAAACCGCTATTTACTTATATCTATACAGTTTTATATTCTCTAACCAATCAGGGAAACAGGTGGTAAAAGGCAAATGATAAGCGAAACAATCTCGGAGAAAAATGGCACCATAATCAGCTCCCAGGATAGACGTCTGGAGCGCTGGAAAGAACACTACGAGGAGCAGTTTCATTGGCCCACATCCACACTTAGCCTGCCGGACATCCAACACCTCCCTGAATGGGATAGAGACACAGGTCCTCCGTCCCTAACTGAGGTTACTAGAGCAGCCACTAATCTGAAGCAAGGCAAAGCAGCGGGACCTGATGGATTGACTCCAGAGGTATTTAAGTATGGTGGAGACAGTTTACTGTCTGCGTTAACTGAGGTTCTAGGCAGCGTCTGGGAATCAGAGGATGTCCCATCGGGTTGGAAAACGGTTTCCCGCCCAGGTTCATAGACAAGAATCTCAAACCTAAGAAGACTTCTGAACAAGTCCAATCCGTTCCAAAGAAAATACTTCTGCTTAATCTAGAATTCAAAGGTGATATTGAAGCAGAAATCTTCCGCAAACGCCTCTCCAAATCGCTGAGGAAAACATACTTCGCCGCAAGCCTACGACTGACGTTTTCCTGCAAGAAACTGTTCAACCTGAACGCGAAAGACAAGCTGTCACATTGGGCCACCTCAACGTGCATATACCAGTTTACTTGCTCTTGTGGAGCTAAGTACATCAGCCGTACCATGCGCCGACTTGAAAAACGCGCTCGTGAACACTACCCAGCCTGGCTGGTAAAAGGAGAGCAAAAACGTGTATACAGTTCAGTGACAGAACATCTGGTCAACTCAGGACATTCAGCGCCTTTCGAAAAATCCTTTAAAGTAATATACAAGATTCAATCAAACCTATCAAAGGGAGTGAAATCAAGACATTTGGGCATAGCTGAGGCGTTAGCTACCCAAAAACTCAAACCCACTCTTTGTATCCAAAAGAAATACGTCCAACCCCTGTCCCTGCCATGGCCATCATAAACAGGTAAAAATTTTTTAATAATGACCATCCCATCGCCTTTCTTATCTAAACTTCCTGTTTATTCATGTTATTTTAAGTTTTCTTAATCCCTACCATATTTTCATATCCACACTTCCTATTTATTTTGTCATTTTACTATTTCTACATATTTAATCCTTGATTGCATAAACAATTATTCATCACACTAGTTTCTTATCCAAACATCCTGTATATTTTGTTATTTTTACATTTCTAACCCCCAATTGCACAATGTCAATCTTCTTAGTTATTATAATGCTACTTTGTTCGAGTTTTACCCATCCCCCTGTTTATTATGGCATTCTAATTCCTAATTGTAATTTTTATTAGTTTGACCCCTAACCAGAAATTATTCTGGAACTTTCCCATGCATTTGATATAAATACACGAATGTACAGCCTAGATGATGACTTCGTCGAAAAGAAAATTTTCTTTGCTGCAACTGTCTTTTTATTCCCTATGATCAAATGTGTATATTCCGTAATTTAAAAATGTAATTAGCGTACACAGACTGTTAAATTACACCAATAGATCTGTTTTATTGGTTAGAGGATTCCATCATGAGCCAGCTGACATCAGTAAAAGAACCATTGGAAAACAAACCAGGGAGTACTAGACAGTTGTTTCCTCCGGCCTAGTGCTTGAGACTCCGCTTCAGCAGTACGCACCCACTGCACCAGGGTTCGAACCCACCACCTTCTGGTTACAAGGCGAGCTAACTCGTAGACCATTAAGCCACTCACTGGGGGGACTCAACCGATCCAATGGCCAGTGCATGAATTCTAATTTCTGCCAATTCATGATGACATAGCATAGCGCGACCACTTCGCAATGTCTTTTTCGATGAGTAACTGACCTCACCTTCAACCTGCTGTATACTCTTCTAGTGTTCATGGCTTCCCACTAAAACTCCAGATAACTGCCTCAATGTAGTGCCAGTCCCTAGTGAGCATCAGATCAATTTTTCAGGTATTGGTTTTGTAGGGATTTTGTCTGATTGATTGATTGAAGGATTTCATCATGAGCTGACATCAACTAGGTTTTCCAATGATTCTCCCTCATGATGAAATCCACCAACCAAGTAAAATTGAATTTCTGAATAAAATAGGCATACCCTAACACCGAATTAGACTAATTATTAGTAGCAGTGTAGCCTTTAGGAAAATTATGTATACCACAAATTCAAAATCGTCACTTCTTCAAGATCTTCTATGTTGTGCTACGTGTGCACCCCCCCCCCGCCTTCGTATTGTGTCTTTCATATATCTTCTTTTCGTGTCTCCCGTATTTCGCCGTATTACTACTTGTTCATTTTACTCTATTTGATTTCGAATCCCTCCATCTCTCCATTATTTGATGTTTTTTGTGCCAATACTACTGATAAATTTTGTCAGTAACACAAGGCACATTCGTATTTTCTGAGTGGAACACAGAAATTCAGTAGCACATTTCCATTTCATCCTGAACTCTACAACAGTCCTTTTAAGCTGACTCCATGATTGCCTATAAGCTTTCACCGCCTCCTCATCCTCCTTCTCCTGCGTCAAGGTCAGGCGTCGAGTGCTAGGTAAGGAGGGGAAATCAGTCTACGAGACTGTGAAATTACATCGACTGAGATGGTTAGGACATGTGTTATGCATGCCTAGTCATCGCCTTCCTCGACGGCAATGTTGGCTGATATACGGTCAGGCTGGAAAAGAGCTAGCTAGTGGAGGTCAAACGAAAACATGGCTTCACCAGTCAATGAAATCTACAACAGTTAATTTAAGCTACCACGTAGGAAGGTGTAGACTTCCTGGTTGAGGTCCTCGGGACAGTAAAAACCAATGGTTGGAAACAATTGGTGATATGGCTCAAAATCGTTCTCAATGGCTGGTTGGAGCAGATGCATCCACTCCTTGTGACTTATGATTTCCAATGAAACTATGTCGTTCTTCGTTACTACTGTTCCTTTGACTCACACCCCTGTTTACTTTCTCTATTATGCATTTCTTCCACTTTCTTCTCTTGCTTTGTGTGCTACATGGAGTATGCTGACTTGAACTGCCGCACATTGGTGCAAAGTTCTATGCAGAAAACAGACAGACAGGCAGACCTTCTCCTGCTAATGCTATCTCTTCTATGTCACCCTCGAACTAATATTCTATATTTCACTCGTAACCAAACAGAATATATATATATATATATATAAACGGTAGGAACAAACTAACAAAGAAGCTATTCTTCAATAAATATGTCAAGGAAAATGGAGATGGATCGGAATAATCTGAGTTTTCGACTTCCCTCTAGGTGTAGACCTATATGTCCATCCATTAGTAGTTCGACTTTAAACGTGAAGCGTTCACATTCACCCTTTCACTGTTGTAGGAAAAACAACCCCTCCTGCATAAGAGTAAGTGAGTAGGATGTGCCTGGTAGTGGCTTTATGAAAGAACGCCTGGCCACATGAGAGAGACCATTTGGAGAAGAAGATCGAAATTTACTCACCATCTTCTAAACCGTATTGTTTATGCCGTGGGGGGAGATGGAGCGGTAAAGTCTTACCTTATTCTTCTCGAATCTGTGGTTTCTGTCCTAGTTCAAATTCTTAAAGAGAGAATAACTGCAGGAAGAATTTACTGGTGTCTAGGCAGACACCAGTAACACCTTTTATGTCAGAGTTATAAAATTTTGATGAGTCAAAGAGAAATCAAAATCATGGACCATTGGATAACCGGGTCCCAGTGGCTCAATGGTCTACGAGTTAGCTCGTCTTGTAACCAGAAGGTCCTGGATTCGAACCCTGGCGGTGGATGAACACTGTGAAGAGTCTCAAAATAGGACGGAGAGAACAGCTGTCGAGTACACCCTGGTTGGTTTGCCAATGGTTCTTTAACCGATGTTAGCTCATGATGAAATCTCAGTGGAGTTTAAATATTCAAATTGAGAGTAGAGATGAGGAAGAAAAAATAAATTTCAGGGGAAAGAAAGAAAAGGTTATCGTAACAAAATGGAGATAAAAGTTTCTCACCAGCATAGTAGGGAAAGATTGACAAAACTTTGTCTTTCTGAATGAAAGCTCAGTTTGGCTTTTAGTCATTACCTCTTCGACGGGCAATGTTAGCTGACATTGGATAACTCAGGTTGGAAAAGAGCCAGTGGTGGACAAACCAAAACATGGCTTCATCAGTCAGTGAAATCCACAACAGTTAGTTTATGCCAAGTAAGGAAGTTTAGACTGGCTTCCTGGTTGGGGTCCTCAAGACTGTAAAAACCAATGAAGGCTGGAGATAATTAGTGATATGACTCAAAATCGTTCCCAATGGCTGGCTGGCGCAGATGCATCCACTCCTTGTGACTTATAATTTCAAATGAAAATATATTGTTCTTCGATATTACTATTCCTTTTGTCTAGTATCTCTGTTTACTGTCTCTATTTTGCGTTTCTTTTTACTTTCTTCTCTTGCTTTGTGTGCTACATGGGGGGAGTGTGGCGATTCGAACTGCTGCACATCGGTGCAAAGTTCTATGTTGAAACTTACAATTAGTCATCCCTTCTTACACCTTACATTATGTAATACAGTTTTTCAAGGACGAAGTTTACCAGTATCACATTTTCCTGCAGACAGTTAATCCAGTCTGAGGCTAAGGACAAGCTACCGCTTTTGGCCACTTCAATGTGTATCTATCAATTTACTTGTTCGTGTGGAGCAAAGTGTATCGGCTGTACGCAACGTCAAGTCCACAAACGTATTCTGGAACACTGCCCAGCTTGGTTAGCCAGAGGAGAAAAGAAGAATAGCAACAGCTCGATC